GGGCCTTTTTTCCCGGGTGTTACTATAAACCGCTTTCCGCAGCAGAGTTGTTTCTGCGCGTCCCTCGGGGACGGCTCGGCGCCGAGCGCGCTGGCAGTCGTGTTCCCCACCGCCGCGCTCGAGCCGCTCGCGTACCTGAAGTGCTGGGGCCGCCCCCCAGGCCGGCTGTGCTGCCAGCCGGGCCTGCTCGCTTACGGAGGGGTTCTCTGTGCTTGGGAGTGTGGAGAGGAAGGTTGTTACTCTGATACCAAAAGAAGTGTCATCGTGTGATTAACACAGGACGCTGGAAGCAGCTGTTGTGGGTTTAGTCCTGGTTGCAGAATGCAGGCATCTTCTAGAGCTTGAAGTTGTTTGCTGTGAGCCTCAGCGCTCCTGTATGTACATATGCGTATGTATATTTAAAGATATGATACTTAATTATTGAATTATGCTGCAGAGTTTGTGCACAGCCGAGCTCAGCAATGAAAGAAAACATTGCACTTACCTCATTACGTGACATTAAATACTGTAACAACGTCTTTAATGAAAACAAAACAGACATTTTTTTTTTCCTTTCTGTTAGGTGCAGACATTGCTTCAGCAAATGCAGGACAAATTTCAAACCATGTCTGACCAAATAATTGGAAGAAATATCCTTTTTTTAAAGTTAGATGGGTGCTGAACACTACAGATGCACAAATATCTAAAGTATATTTACTGGTGGGATTTGTGAGATAAAGTGACCATAAAAGCTTGAGCGAAGCTGTAATAAAAAACAACAAAACAAAAAGAACCCAACCACTACTAGATTGCAAGCATATTCCTTAACTCTAGTGAACTTGATGACATGAGCTGTCGCATAGATGACCTGGAGAAGAACATAGCAGACCTCATGACGCAAGCGGGAGTAGAAGAATTGGAAGGCGAGAACAAGACCCCTGCTACTAACAAGAGTTAAAGTGAGACAGTTTCTTGTTAGCCTTGAAACAAATCCTCAGGTCACTTGGAATTACTGACTTCAATATAGATGGAATTTTTCCTTTGATTTGTGAGGTAGTCTGAAATTAATTCAGAGCTGCTCTGTACACTATAATAGAAAAAGCTCTCCTCAGCAGGCTGCTCCTAGCCTGTTCAGCAGGGTTGTTTTTTCACCAGTATTGGGAGGAGAATTATTTTCTTTGTGTCTAGTTAGTTTTGAGGAAGTGCAATAGCTATATTCACCCTCTGTTACTCGCTCACTCTGGTACTCTTAGTCAGAACTGAAATAGCGACTGTCTTCACAGCACAGGAAGGAGAAGAGACAGGAAAAAATATCAGTAGCAAAGCAAGCTCTTCTCTCATCATATTTGAGCCTTCTGAAAAGGACCATAAATGTCATGAACGTTACCAACATCAGCTCCAATTCCAGAGCTGGAAAGCTAGTGTAAGCATGGTGCTACTCTTCCATCTTGCGCTGCATCCTGTAGACTTTAGCTCCCACTAAGCTGCTAAAGACTGTAGACTTGCTGCTGTGCACAGGGGCTAATGAGTGAGTTACTGTTGATCAGTTGTAAAAAAGTTAGAAGCTTGCTGGGAGTATGTGACTCGCATGTACCACTGCAAAGTGGCAGGTCTGAACTCGGACAGTGTAAGACAACACTGAGACAATGAGACAAGGCGTATTCTAGGGCAACACTCCCTGGAAAAAGAAATGTCTTACTGAAATGTAAATGTGATGCTATTATATATTCTTCTTATGTAATTTCTTAATTGATAACCTTCCCCTGCGTTACACAAAAACATTGGAGAAGTAGGTGTTTCATCTACTTGGCAAGCAGCAGTTGAAAATCTAGTACAGAAACATGTAAATAAGTTCAAGTGATCAGGTAGCACCACACAGAGTATTTACAACAATTGCTAAAAGCATTTCAGAAAATGGGGGCAATGCAAGAGTGCCAAAAACGTTAGAGCATAAAGAAGGGTGGTGTGATGCTTAATTATAATATGTGAGCCCTAAGATTACACTTCAGTTCATATAGAGCTTGATTTTTGTAATCCATGGAAGGAAACTGGTAAATAAAGTACTAGATGTATCATGTTAGATTAACAACTTTTGTCTTTTAAGGTGGCTAAGACAGATATATCTCAGCTGTTCTTAGGCTTGAAATTCTGAGGTCATATCTAGAGTATTATGCAGCCTGTATAACAGGCACATGTGTTTGAAATGGGTATTCATCTTGCTCATTAAGATACCTATTTTTTGTGATACTTTGACAGAAATACAAATTATTACGGGCTTCATTGCCCCCAGTGCCAGTTCCCTTAGCCTGAACCCCACAAATGAAAATTTCTGATGAGCATGATTCTCTTAATTCTTCTCAGTAATGTATTCTTTTTTTATTATTTTTCCCCAACAGGTTGCCAATAGCTTGAGATGAATCCTGGAAGACTTTTTTTTTTTTCCATACAAATCCTTGGAATTACAGAGCAGCTTTTTGCAACTACTGTGTGTAAAAGCATTTTTATATTGTTATAAAGCTTGCATTCCTAATGTATATTGTATAGTTAGGGATAGGTTAGTTTATATTTTCATCTGCATACTGTAATTTCACTTTTTGAATTCTTGTTACGAGGATCAATTAGTTGTGTTATTAAAACACAGATCTTATGGATCTTAACTACTGGGTGTATTTTTTTGTGAAGGCACTTTTCTCTCTTTCTGGTACTTTTTCTAGACGTTTCATTTTTGATAGCCAAGCGTCTAGCGACTCCCATGAAATGGAGATTTTAACTTGTCCTACGTAACTTTGTGGAGTGAAGCACAAGATTGAAACTCTGCATTAATCCTAGGTCTACGCATCAGTCGCTCAACTAGTTGAGGCCTATGTGTTGTTTTCTCATAAATGTAATAGGATAAGACACTGAACATCAAAATCGTATCTCATTCTCCTGGTATTACTTAACCTGTGTGTTCCTAGAACATAAATTAGAAATAGAGATTTAACATTAGAGACATCTGTACACAGCTGAGCAACCACTGCCATTCAAATCTGTTATATTTAGACAGACAAGGAACCGTTAACTATGAAAAATCTCACTGTGAGATTTAAACTTTTTAGTACTGTAAAACTCCTTCAAAAATGACTGTGTCATTTAGCATTGTGTTTGAACAGTAATTATGGTTAGCTTAGTGATACTGGAGATAGAGATGGCATTCCGGGAGTGTCTGTATGTGGTCTTTCTGTTTAAATCACCGGCTCACTATACTGAACAGTTGCTAACAAAGCAATGGTATAGTGAGTAACAAAAAAGGAGAGAACCCAGTTAGAATTGTAAAGCCTCGCTTCTCTTTGAATAACAGCTCAGCAGAACTCTTCAAAGTATTTGGTTTAGAAAGGTGTTTGCTTTTATAATCATCTTTACATTTATGGGCCTGGAGTTCGATGGATTACATTAGAGTATTTTGGCAATGAAAAGTGTGTTTAGAAGAGTCTGTGCTATGTCACTTGTGAAGAAAAATGACCGGTGTTGGATATTACTGACAATCACTGCAATGCTCCCCCAGCTTGAAATAGAAATTTAAGAAAGCACTAGTGGCAGTCAGCAGTTATATGTGTGCCACACTTAAGACTGTTCTTTGAACACCACCAAATTAGCACTTGTGTATCATGAAGGCAATATGACAGGCCATTTTTCAAAACTGAGGGGAAATTGTAATAAGAGCTCATAATAATAGGGGAGTTTTGTGAACATAGGAAATGTACCAATATACCTTGTAATACCAGCCTTAGGCTCTTTGTAATGTCATTTAAAAAAATCTAATAAACTATTATGTGGTGACAAGTAGTCAGGTCATGTATATTAAAGCAAAATTTAGCCTAAGTATATCATTATATGTGAGATTGTATTTAGTTACAAGTTACGGAAAGACTTTAGTACAGCTTCTGCTTATAGAATATAGTCTTGAATATAGGTGTGATCTATATAATAAACGGGTGAGCACAATTCATGCCCTGTCAAATCTGGATTTTACTAGGCAATTACAACATAGACCAAATTCATGGGAAGGCTTATTAAAGCGGAGGATCATTTTGTATGATGTTTATAGAATTATAACTTCTCATCTGTCCGCCTTCCTCCTGTAGGAGAAATGGTCGTTCTTGAATTTGCTTGCACTGTCCTATATACAGCGGTAGTAAGCCTGCTTTCCTGAAGTTTATTTTGTCAGAATAACTTACTGGAAAATTATTTCAGCTTTAAGATTCTAAACAGTTTTCAGGAGGGATACTTTTCCCTCATAAATTTAATACTTAACTGATTTTGAAAAGTAACAGTTCAATTCAAATCAAGCCTTTCAGACAGGAAGGTATTACTTGTAGCCCTTTAAATAGTGTGTATTTTTGAGAAATATTTTTTATTCTTACTCTAAACCAGTGGTAGAGCTTCTACATATAAACAGCACATGCAAGCCAAAGGAGAAGCCCTTTTTTGCCACCATTTCCTGAAGTGCAGCTGGTTTAATACACAAAGCAAAGCAGAAGATGACTGTTCTGAAGTGTTACTTTATATGGATTTGATAACACTTTACAAAATAATAGTGGTTTGGTTGGTTTTTTATTGAATATGCTGGTTCACATCCTATCTGACAAATATTTGTCCTTTCCACTGGGCTGCCTCACTTGCAAAGAAAAAAAAAAGTCTGAGGATGAAGCTTGTGAATAGGGACTGTCTTAACAGAATATAAAGCAAGCTGTTCCATAGATTCATTTAAATCAAACTATGTAGTGCTGTGTTTTGTTTAGGACCATCCTTTGAGACTGTAGGTTGCATTTTTTAGTTATTTATCTCTATGGCAAAGTCTATATAAGCACTTTCTACTTTAAGAGATTTTCTGCTACCTGTCATCATGGTAACATACCCTTGGATTTTATCATTGATGTATTTACCTCCTACAGTTCATTTTCACAAACAGTTACAGACTAAGTGCACCCTACTTTGATTTCCTCGTACAAACAGGCATGGCGGATGCTGCATTTTCCAGTTTGTGATCCAAGGCTGGTGTAACCTGGAGCAGACCTGCCGTAATTCGTAGGCACAGCAGCCCCGTGCTGGGGCAGCACATTGGTCTGCTCTGCCTGTGCGAGTGAGCCTGGCCCCTGCTCGCATCCGCCTCCTGCCCACCTGCAGCAGGGGAAGGGTTTCTGGTACAACAGGTGCCTCTAGGAGGGGTGGGATGGATGGAAAATGCACTCTCTTGAACTTGCTGCTTCCTTCATTGTTTCCAAGCAGCAAGTAAGGGGACAGCAAAGCTACTTTTTGCAAGTGGTTTGGAATTACACAGAACAAGTAGAGTCTACAGGTCCTGGATTTATGGGGAGAAGGAGAACAGCTAAGGATGGAAAAGCCAGAACCGCCCCCTGCTCCTGTCTATGTTCCCCAAGCTCTCCATTGTCTCTGCTCTCACCACTTCTACTGCAAATTTCCGTTACCACCATCCCCTTCAACCCCAGGTTCTCTTCCACTCTTGACTTTTCAGAGCTCAATTTCAGCTGTTACCGAGAAAAAAGCCATTGTTGCCAAACTGTCTCCAGGTAACTACTAAGCATGGATGCACTTTCACAAAAGATTGACATTAGGAAGAGCAAATTGAATAATTTTTTTTCTAGGACAGCAATGATGATTGACACCATGCAAGTCTTCAACCACAGTTTTCATAGCCAGTCATTAATAGCAGTATTGTTTTCTGAACACGACTTGAGACCTGAGAATCCAGAAGCAAGCTGAAGATCGCAGGAGCTGTGTGGCCTATGCACTTGACACTGGACAACAAGTAAATTTTCAAACTCCTGTCTCTTGTCCTCTGGTGTCTTAATTCCTGTCTGTACAGCTGGAATGATACTCTTAGTACAGAGGAATAGTGTTATAGTAAATCCATGTTTTGAAACACAGGCCCACTGATAAGTGATCCAGAAGGATGCT